TAATGTCCGCGTTTTCAGGTCTGTTAATCGCTTTAATGTTATCTGACAGATAATTATATATCACCCACATTGTTTATGTGTAAAAATATGTGAACTCCCATATCTGAATTTATCTATGATTTCATATATCGAACAGTGCCTTTTCTTTATTGTAACCTTAGATCTAGACAACTTGTAATCTAATTTATATCCAATGCCAGACAATTGTCATTAAATTGTACATTCTAGTTATTCTAAGGGGACTTAGTCTCAGAATAATTTTTTTTTTATTCTTCTTCTTGTCCCCAGCAAGGATACACAGAGAATAAACAAGACTTTCTCCATTATATATATTTTTGAAATGAGTTTGGAATAAGTTGTATTGAAAGTTAAATCCGAAAGGTATATTCTTAGTTAGCAATACCCTACTCACTTTTATTTTCTGCCTGTTCAATCACTTCCTATCCATCCAGTTCCCAGACAATTGTGAATAGCTTTTTCTGTAAATATGTAATATAAATTATTAATTTATAAATTTATTTTTAAGATTTTTTGATTTTTTGTTTTAATTCATTAACCTTTTTATAAAACTCTGATGTTTTACCTGTATGTAACCCTTCGTCATCTATCGAGGGACTGGACATAGTCCCTCCATAGATGACGAAGGGAAAAACCTAAGACAATAGGACAATTTAATTCATAGCTTTAGAAAAAGGATATTCAATATGGATATTGAGTTGGAGGACTGAATTAAGACTTGAAAATGGCCCTAACGTTTGTCGAAACGTTGTCAAGAATTATAATATAATAGAAATAAAATATTGGCGGAATTCGGCCTTAATTTATGAAGAATGAAAAGTATATTAATATTATTATCACTATCGTTTTTGTCTGCTTGCGTCCTTCAATACAGCTATACTAGCCCAATCGTTGCCATCTAGAAACAAAGCCCTAATAACTTTAGAGCTTGCATATATTCCATCCTTAGGATACAAATGTGATGATCCTAAAACCATTTAAGCAGCATTTGTCGGTAAGTTTATAATGTTCATAAGACTTTCAGCTTCTCGGTTTACAGCCTCAGTTTTACAATGTAAATTCGCTGATTGGTACCAATAACATAACAGTAAACACAATTCCACGCTGTTTTAGGATTTCATTGTATTAACAAAACCATAGTAGAAGGAAGCATGTCTTCAAAGGAATACTGGTCATAATGGTATATCGTGATACAAAAGAAGAAAGCTCATACAATTTTTAAATACAAAACGAAAACCTGTTCCAGCTGTTTCTTTGAAGTGGATTAGTCATGCATTTCCGCTCAGATCGTTAGTCACCTTACTTAAGAATCAATATTTATTTTAACTTTAGTTACATAATATTGAGTAGTCTGTGTGTTTCTTGTTTGCCTGTTTGTTTGTCAGATTGGTTTTGGAAAATTCCAATACAAAAGTCTACAGTATCTATAGAGTTACTAAAATGTTACATTTAAATTGTGCTATTGAGTACACGACTCAAAAATAAAATGTAAGAGTTGAATTAGTAACATAACTCATAGCTCCTCTTATTTAAATAGTAGGAAGCAGAACTTTATATCATTTAATGGAAAAAAAAATGATTCAGTAGAAATCTGTAAAATAATTTTTTTGTATTGGAGAACCTTAATCGGCCAATTTTGAGTGATGACGTCAAAGTTCACAGCGCACCTAGTGGCGATAATATTTATCATTCATTCGTTGCGTGCTATATGTATTGGTCCTTAGCAAATAGTCATATTTTTTGCGAAGAAAAAAAAAGAGAAAGAGGAAATTCAACAGAAATCGTACCTAATTCCTTTTGATAAGTATTATACAATTCTGATTTAATTAACCATGAGAACCGATATTTGGATTGAATTGTAGTTATTCATATAATTTAATTAGGTTTATAAAACAATTATTATTATTAATTAATAAATGGAACAAGTTGATATTCACTTTAATTGTAGTTCCTTAAAGGAAAATAAGTTTAGCCTTAGAAGATCAGTCAATATATATATATAAAGTACATCGAACGAAATATCATTATTTTTTTTTTCATTTTTTCTGATAGATGGAAATATAAAAGATAAACTACTTATGACTTTTACGTTTTCTGGACTATATAAATAGATTATTTTAAAAAGTACAGTTTCCTTTCTTTCTAAAATTTTTTTCTCATCTTCTAAATCTTTTCTCAAAAATATCTCAAGGACTTCCTGATCTCTGTGAGCTAGGGCACGGAAAAGATTTTGTTTATTAAAGCTTTTTCAATATATTTAAAATATCAAGTATTAAATTTTAGATTTTAAAAGATAAAAAAAAATGGAAACATCCTAAAATTGTTTGGACATAATAATGATAGAAAATCTTAAATAAATATATATATATATATCAGGCTAGAAACGTTTCTATTATAATTTTTGCCGTACGCAAAGATTTAAGAGTTTCTATCATTATTATGTCCAAACAATTTTAGGAGGTTTCCATTTTTTTTTTTATCTTTTAAAATCTAAAATTTAATACTTGATATTTTAAATATATATTGAAAAAACTTTAATAAACAAAATCTTTTACATGCCCTAGCTCACAGAGATCAGGAGGTCCTCGAGATATTTTTGACAAAATATTTAGAAGATGAGAAACAAAATTATAGAAAGAAAGGAAATTTTTTTTTTTTAAATTTAGTTATGTAGCCAAGAAAACATAAACATCATAAGTAGTTTATCTTTTATATTTCCATCTTTCAGAAAAAAGGGGAAAAAAATTAATGATATATCGTTCGATGTACTTTATACTACATATTTTAAGAGGTAAATTATATTTTAAAAAAAATACTATTGACCTTTGTATGAAGACTGATAATACAATCGTTAATTAACTCATATCCCGCTGTAGATATCATTGTGGAAAACTCGTAGCAAAAATTTATGATACACCATTTCCGTGATTTTTCTGCCTATGATTCCAAACATATCGTTAAAATAAAAAAATAAAAAATGACATATTGTGGTTTATATTTACAGGATCCGCATCACCAAAGCCAAGAATTAATTCCTGGCCTTCATTTAAAAATAGATTAATTTATATCCAAATATTTCTTTCCCGAACGCTTTTATTTGGTCCCGGAAATTTCACCTTCTTCTACGAATAAACTGACTCACTTCTGCATAGGCCAATTTTAAATTTAAATTTTTTATACAGGTTAGTTTATATTTTGTTTATGGGGTCAGCTTAAGGATCTTTTTTATTTTATCTTTACTGCTACAATTAAAAAAAAAAGGTTTTTATTCTTTCAATATGATCTAATTATAATAGTCAGTATATATTATTTATTTGCTTTTTATTTATAATATATTTATAGTATATTAATATTATTTATTTATTTCAACTACCTGCACAGACACATATATTTTTAAGATTTAACTGGTGTGCAAACGTATCGTAATCATCGAAGTAAAAAAAAAATCAAATTCATTGCTGAGATGTAAATAAAAAAAATCAGTACCGATCAAACCTACTCAATATTGTTTTCGGTTGATTCTTCACCAACATATTTTTTACTTTAACTTTACCGTTTTTTTTTTTAAAGTTTTATTTTATATTTCTCCCTGAAACATTCAAATCAAATTATTTCTCACGTTCTATTTTAATGTGAAAAATTAAAAATAGATTAAATACTAATGAATTATGCAGTGTGAAAACATATACTTCCTGATGAATTATGAAGTATATATTTTTTTTAATCTTCCCAACCTTTTTCCAAAAACAAGATTTTATTTTCGCTCAGCATCAAAATTAACACCGATTCAATATTTTTTTTTTTTATATTAAAGGTTCAAAGGATTTTTATATTTAGGTTTACTTCGAGTTGGTTAGGCTAAAACTTAGATTTTTTGACTCGAGGAGGCAAAATTTCCTCTAAAATTATTTTTAAGTTACATTTCTTTTTTTTTTGGAAATTCGCGGAGATATAAATTTCAACGCTGAATTTCACTTCCAAACAAGAGTGCCCGAAATGGTTTTGTATTTTTAGGGGTTCATACATTTTTGAGGGGGCAAACTTTTATATTCAAACAAGAGAAAATATATAGAAAAACTACGGCCAGTGAGGCCGTGTTGTCCGAACGTATTAAGGCGTTGCAACATTCTAGGGGGGTCGATATTTATTGGAGGACACACGGAATGAATCCCAAACTTCCCACTCTGGTTAGAATGGATTTGATTTTACTTTAAGGATAACCCATCCGTATTCCAGAAATTATTTGTTTAGTGTCTAAAAAAAACTGTGATTTTATGACAGGCTAAAATTCATTTTGTAAAAACTATTGCCGAGGACATAAAAAATAACATTATTCGACGTGTATTCGAATTTTTCACACTGAATAAAATACAATTTTCAATCCCCTGAAATTGTATAGAATGTTTAGTTTTGAGGGAAAAAAATAAAAGTTATAATGATATTAAAAAATATTGCTGGAATGATGCTTTATTAAAAGGTGTTTGATTTTTATTTCAAGCCTAGTCGGATACTTAATTTTTATCAAAATGCACAAATGTTACAAATTAACTTATAAATTTATTAAAAAAATCCTTGACTGCTTTTAATTTTTTCAACTGCCTTTGATCAGCCTCGTTAGTACCAGTGATGCGGCTGGGATTTCCTATAGTCTTGCTTTTCCCTTAACCTGTGTGGGTGAAGGCTTGACTAGGAATTTCCCTAAACGAATTTTTGTTGTTTTTTTTTTATTAATTTCTTTTTTGTTTATGTATATATATATTTAGTATTACCATTTTTCAGTTATTCTATTTAATTTATTTTTATTTATCGTGCATACGGTGTGAATGAACTCCTGTATCACTATTACTAATGTCTTTAGCTGTGACAAAATGCAATATAATTCAGTAAAAATAAATAAAAAATAAATGTTCTAATTCCATTTACTCAACAAATTAATTCTTAAATTCGATACACGTTTTTATGCAAATGTGAGGTGTAACAGTATGTGGGTATTGCTAGGGCTTGACACGCAGTTTGACGTTGGTAGGTCCCGCAAAACTATTTCCACCGTGTATAGAGATAAGACAGAAAACAAAGCTGTAAATTTGAAGAGTGGTTCCTGTTACTGGGACGAATTGTTAAGTTCAGCGACCCCTGACCTCTATAGAAATGACTTTTGCCCAATCCTGGTCCCCCGCCGCTGCCCTACTTTTACCTCACCGCCGTGGTACTCCTCTCACAACCTCCTTTAGCATCTAGCCCAGCGTATCCTCTTTGTAATTACCTTTCGGCAAACAGTATTCACAATCCATAATTTACCTTACTAATGATCTGATCAAGTATTGGGTTGGAAAATATGTCCTTTCAGTTTTTCTGTTTATTTTTAATGCCGCTATCATGCGCTTCTTATATGACGAATTAAACCCTAAGGTGGATTATCTATCCGGTTTGTAAGATGTCAACAACTATATCTTTAAAAATCTTATTAAAATTTTAAAATATACTAATCAAGAAATAATATATTCTGCTACACGTAAGGGCGCTAAGTATTACGGTGCCATACTCATACCATACATAGAATGAGACAATAACAAAAACTTTGAAACCTTGAAATAAAATACAAAAAATCTTGAAACACAAAATATTTACAGTTAGCATAGGTTGCTCCAAGTCTACCCCTTTCTGCTGCTTGTGCAGGACAAGGTAAAATTCTAAAAGATCCTAGCGCTCCACTCTTAGCTGCGTCACCGGTGAGATAATCAAGTGGAGATTGAGAGCGAGTAATAGACTTGAATGGAGAAGTTGACCATTGCCAGAATTCCAATTACAAATTTAAAAATGATCTCGGAGCCATTGCCGTTTCAACCTTCGAGGAGGATGGTTAGGGATGACTGAAGCTAAATAGGGAATTAGAATGGTGGATCATGATGGAATAACCTCAAGGACATCAGTGATATTGAGATCACGAAGTAAAGTTTTATTTTTGACGTAATATGGACTACTGACTATTGTTCGAAGGATTTTAGACTGGATTAGAAAATTAGATTAGTATTGTTTGAAAAAAGGTAAGAGTGCTGCAGAAGCTTATTAAAAAATGGGCAGTGTGTAACCTAAAATTAGTTTGCTAAGGGTTGGTAATGTGCTGAAATTAGTTTGTTTTTTTTAATTTTGTCACCAATGACGCACTACGGTCTGGTCGCGAACTAGCTTCTAAGAGCTATAGCCATCCGAAGTAAATATTCAATATAGCAGTAAATACACTGCTCACAATTAAAGAAATCAGATCAATCAATTCGAAAAAAAGTCCAAAACTGGCAAAATTCCAGACCCCACGCCTTATTGGTCACTCCCAATAAGCTTTGGATGGTATCTTTAGCCCCACCCTCCCTAATTACCAGACCCAAGTGACTACCACTTATTCCATTATCTGCAGAACTCCATGGATCGAAAGCAATAACAAAACCAACAAGACATCAACAACTACTTAGCTAATTTTTTTTACAATAACACCCAGACGTGTTAAAATTCACGTCAAAATTAAAATTCAATAAACGTGTTAAAATTAAAAAAATGAAATAAATGAGAAACGAGACATATAACGGCTTGAAAAGACTTTTCGAGAAACTACCCACTGGTAGCACTCTAATAAAATGTTTATATTAAGTGATATATCGCGGTGCTTCTTAAACTATTCTAAAATAACATTCTGATTTTTAAAATAATAACATGTAATAATCAGCACATATCAAACTGCACTCTCTGACTCCAGTATTTTTTTCCTTTCTTTGTGGCCTTTCTTTGAATGTAGAACATATTCAAATGGAAAAAAATGCGTAAATTCGTACTGCAATAGAATTCAAATGCATTGCATTTTTTTTTTTACAAAAAAGTTTCATATTTAGCTAAAAACTAGCAATAACAGTCCGACTGATAGAGTTGTGGTGGAGACCAGGGGTGTTGTGTAAGTCCCCTGTAGGGGAACGCATACTGCTGCCAAGCACGATACTACTCATTCACTCTCAGCTCTGAGCTTATTTTATTAATTTTTAAGCGCTAATAAAATACATTTAAAAATAAATAATTATACTCACAAACGATAGAATGAAAGAAAAACCGTAAATATTTCTTGGATGGATATTTTGGAGATAGAAACACCATTATAAGCAAATAAGTATAAGAAATCCAAAGGTATGAGTCAGGTGATGGCAGCCTCCCTTGACATAGCTTCGTCCCACCACTTTTCTTTAACGCTATATAGTCACTATCTATATAATCGCTAATAACCTAATCTTCACCGACGAATACATATGGAAAATTCAAGAAAGTACCTAATCATGAAAAATCTTAAATACTAGACTATATAAATAAAACTATAAATAGAAAATTATAACATACTTTCCATATAACCAAAAATAACAGTAAAACATTCAATTATTAAAATAATACACAAGATTTAAGAACGCGCTTATTATCGTGATATTCTGCTAATTTGTTTGATAAATTATCAAGTTTTAATCTGTATAGTAATTAGGTATAATGGGATGTTAAATTCAATTAATTATTAAATGTTTCACGAAAAACAGAATCCAATACTCCATGTGTCCGAAAAATACTTTATTCGTTCCTAATTGAATCGAGAGGGCGAAGGGATGTGGCATATAATTCGATTACGGTGTGCTAGACCGTTAAATACTTTAAAAGCAGTAAATGCATTAATAACAAGGGCGAGCCAGTAAAATAAATGTTATACCGTCATGAAAGCACTCAAATATGGAAGGATGGCTTCATAATAATCAATTAAGATTATCGTGGAAAGTTCCAAATAATTTGCCTCGTGTTACTCAAAATAAGGAAATTTATTTCCGAATTTTATACAAAACCAATTGGAGACGTCTAATTCAAATTAAAAACGTTAAAAATCGTGGCAGGATGCCACGCTGACGGCCAAAAAAATTGATCCGAGGAGTGTATTAATAGGATTGGAGAGAAAAAACACCCTAAGAAAGAAAAGGAAATGGCAGCGTTGGGTATATGAGGATCCTTCACGCTCGAAATGGGAAAGACTAAGAAAAATAAGAATAAATTATATCAATTTCATGGTATAAATTTTACTTTGCCTGAATAATTTTATAATACTAAGGTTTATAGTTCAAAATCTCCATCTAGGGATCTAAGAATTAGACTCACATGGGCTCTGTAGGCGAGCAAACGGTATCTGAACAAAATATTCAAATAAGTAATGGTGAAAAAGGGGTCTTCTTTCCTTTTCCTTAAAATTAAAATTATTCTATAAAAATAATAATATTTAATAACAATACATCAAATTTGACCAACAAATTAACTGTGCATTATGTAATAATCTGTTAAACGAACATTTATAATATATATTGCACAATATCAAATATATCATTCAACCCGACGTAATGTTTTAGCTCGATTTCATAAAATCGAAAAAGAACTATTTTCGTCAGTGTTTTTTTCTTTGAATGACCAAAATGAATTAAAGAAAATACACCGTTGTTTTTTTTTTTCAGTCAGTTAGCAAAATTCGCTCACTTTGTATAGAGGGAAAAAAATCATTTTAAGGCAATTTTTTTTTTTTAGTTCATATAGTTGTATTTATTTTTGTGTAGTTAATCCTTGATACGCTGTATAAATATATAGAGAATACAAGTAAACATACTTCATAAATAACCATATTAATGACCGTTGTTTGTTTTTAAGATTGTTATATAAAACCTATGTCCTCCTGTCCTACAGTATCCTTTAATAACAATCCACTTATCCCTGTTGAACAAATCCGATACCTTGGACTCCACTTGGACAAACGTCTAACTTTGAATCCTCTTACCAGATTGAAACGGCAAGAAACCGCTCGGCTTTTCCGACTACTCCAACACTTACTAGACAAACGCCCTAAGCTTTCAGTTAATTACAAATGACTCATATACATGACTACAATAAGACCTATTAGGACTTACGGAGTTGAGCTCTGGGGCTCCACTAAGCCATCGAATTTCTCTCGTATCCGATCCTTACAATCAAAAATCCTTCTAAAAATCCTCAATGCTCCCTACTTTGTTACAAATAAAACCATCCATAATGACCATCATAATGACTATCAATTTTACTAAATGTATTTTATTTATTAATACAGTTGTAAATATCATAAATAAATAAAAAATAAAAAAGATTGTAATATGGGGAGGGGGAGATGGTTGAAATGTTTAATGTATTAAAGCAAATTCCCTTGGTATAAATAAAAAGCGATGTAAATAAATAAACAAGACGTCCTTCTTCAATGATTGGTATATCTCATAGAATTAGTTTCTTTATGATTTTTCGAGTACTCATTATGAAATTCAATCAGGTTTGTTCATTAAAATCTTACATCCTTGTTACCCGGAAGATATCCAATTTCTTTTTTCTCCAGTAAAATATGAGTAAACTGGATTGTACTACAACACAAACCAAGCACAGAGTTTCATGGCAGCCATCAATCCTGGCATAAATTCTGGCAAGGCATAAACTCGGTAGATGATGGGTTCCTGACGGTCAGTCGTAGGTTAGGCAATGAGTCAGAGAGGAATATTATACTGTCATCACTTGCTGACTACGATCTTCGGATAGCTTACTCGAATTTCAATCGAATCTTTAATAAATTGAAGATCTTATTTATATTTTCAGAGTGTAGCCATATATTATATATCAGGGGTTGAAACAGTTATTTTTTTTTTTTTGCAAATGAGTTCAACTTTAACTGTTTGAAAAAAACTTAAACATCAATACCAATAATTTTTTTTTTTTTTTTAAAACTGTTAAATAAAAGTTCTTGTTCAGTGTTTGCTTTATTAATACATATATAAATGTCGTAAAAAAATATTTGTTAAACTTTTACTTATTCCCTCTAAAATAAAAGTTATAAGTATCAAACATTACAAACTATAATATAAGTTCATAATTATTACACTTCTTGCAGTACTAAGAGTAGAAGACTAATAAATTCCGGTGATCCTGGAAAATAAATTCAATGTTTACTTAGAAAGCATACAATGCAACGTTGTTTTTTTTTAATTAGAGTTGTTTTTTTAGAAAAGTAAAAGTTTAATGTTTTTTAATTAACGTGATACATACTATCTTGTTCCATACCTTTTAAACGTTGTAAATATTTTCAATGTTAAATGTATAGAAAAATTATTACAATGTTTTATATAGCTATGTACATATACTGATGGTTATATTTTCTGTCAAT